GGGGGGCTCAGCAGAGGGGACAATCCCCTCCCTGGCCCTGCTGGTCACTCTGCTGGGGATGCAGCCCAGGACACGGGGGGCTCATGTTGAGATTCCCCAAGTCCTTCTCCTCAGGGCTGCCCTCCATCCATTCTCCACCCAGCCTATGACTTCCCTTGAGATTGCCCCCACCGAGGTGCAGGACCTCACACCTCAATATTCAGTGGCCATCTGGGGGATCACACCTCCTTGGTGGAAAGCCTGCTCTGATGCTATTCCTCACTGTCCCTGTCCCAGGATGAAGACAAAGGGGTCACTGCTGGGGAGTGGTTGGGCCAGTACTACTTCCACTGTGCTCCCAAGCGCGGGCTCTTTGTGAAGCTGCAGTCCTGCCAGCCCGACGTGCGCTTCCAGTGTTCCCACCAGGGCCACTTCAGCCTGCTGGATTATGGTAAGTTCTCCAAGAAGAAGGGATGGCAGGGATGTGCTGGGACAAGGAGAGACCCTCTTCTGCAGGGTCTTCTTGTGATAGGGCAAGGGGTGATGGTTTTAAAATGGAAGAGAGGAGATTTAGTTTGGACATCAGGAAGAAATTATTCACCATTTGGATATGAAGGTGCTGGAATAGGTTGTCCAGGGAGGGTGTGGCTGCCCCCTCCCTGGAGGTGTTCAAGGCCAGGTTGGATGAGGCTTGTGCAGCCTGGTCTGGTGGGAGGTGTCCCTGCTCATAGCAGGAAGGTGGGAGCCTCATGTTCTTTAAGGTCCCTTCCAACCTTCACCATTCTATGATTCAGCAGTGGTTTAAAATCTGTCACTTTCTTTGGGTGTTCCAAAGATGTCAGTTGGAAGGATGGTGAGGTTGCCATGATGGTGTTTATAGGGAATTATAGAAAGGTTTGGCTTGGAAGGTACCTTTGAAGGCCATTAGTCCTGCCCCTGTGCAGTAAGCAGGGATATCTTCAACTAGACCAGGTTGGTCAGAGCCCAGTGAAGCCTGACCTTGAATGTCTCCACAGATGGGGCATCCACCACCTCTTGGCCAACCTGGGCCAGTGTCTCACCACCCTCATTGTACATAATTTGTCCTAGTATCTAGTCTGAATCTCCCCTCTTCCAGTTTAAAACCGTCACCCCTTGGTTCTATCACTACAGGTCCTGCTAAAAAGTCTGTCCCCATCTTTCTTAGCAGCCCCTTTCAGTATTCCTGTGATGAGGAAGAGGTGGATTGGCTTGGTCTCCTTTTCTAGCACATAAATTACTAAAGGGGCAAATCTTCATCCCATTGTGGCTGAGGAGCAGCAGAGAAGAGCCAGGTGCCAACCTCTGAGCAGAGCAGGCCTCTGTGGCATCAGGCAAGGGCAGAGCTGACTCAGATGAAGTAGGAAGCTAAAGGGAGGTCCTTCTGTTGCCTCTCTTGCAGGAGAGCAAGAAGTCCTTCCACAGACTCCAGAGAGTTTTCCTCCCCTCAGGAATGAGGCAGCAGTGCATGTTCTGCGAGGGAAGATGAAGGGGATCCAAGGCCACTGTAATTCCTGCTATATGGATGCAGCCCTTTTCAGGTAAGGACCTCCTTGGGTGCTGCCATTTCAGTAAATTAGTCCTTTTTTGATTAGGCAGAGCCCTAAACTGCAGCACTGCCCCAGACGTGCAAGATGGCTGGAAATTTATCCAGTATAGAGCTGTGTGGAGACGCAGCCTTGGTTTTTTGTGTTTTTTTTGATCCCCTTCCAAATCTGGTAGGTTCTCAGGCCCTGAAGTACCCCTGGTGAGTACCTCAGGTACCATGTGTCTGTCGTGCAGGGTGGTGAGAGATCATAGTTCCCTGGACTTGGACTGTGCCGACTCTGTCACTGGAGGTAATGGCTGGAAACATTCCAAAGAAACCACCCAGGAGGTCCCATCTTCCCTGTGCGGCATTACTGGGAGAGGAAAAGACTCAGTGGTGCCCCCTCCATGAGCAGTTTTGTCTGCAAAGAGTGAGGTTTCATTCTCTCTCAGCTCTCTCCTTGCTTGCTGCCAGTGCCCATTAAACCAGCTGCTGCCACCCTCCTTTCCCATCATTGCATGCATGGACTGTTGAAAATAAAAGCCACCAACTGTCACCAGGCACCAAGGTTTGGTTCTGTGGCTGCAAACCCATCAGGCTTGAACCCATCACACTCTCTTCACAGCCTCTTCTCCTGTACATCCGTGCTGGACTCCATGCTCTTCAAGCCCTTCCCGCTGTGTGACAGGAATGTTCAGAGCATCCTGCGGGATGAGATTGTGAATCCACTCCGAAAGTGAGTATCAGTGGCATCATGGAATGGTTTGGGCTGGAAGGGACCTTAAAGATCATCTAGTTCTAACCCCCCTGCACGGGCAGGGACACCTCCCACCAGACCAGGCTGCTCCAAGCCCCTTCAACACTGGCAGTGATAGGGCAGCCACAAATTCTGAGGGCAACCTGGGCCAGGGTCTCACCACCCTCACACTAAAGAATTTCTTCCTAATGTCCAACCTAAATCTCCCCTCCTCCAGTTTTAATCCATTACCCCTTGTCCTCTCACTCCCTGCCTTTGTAAAAATTCCCTCCCCAGCTTTTCTGGAGCCCCTCTGAAAGGCTGCTACGAGATCTCCCCAGAGCCTTCTCTTCTCCAGGCTGAACAACCCCAACTCTCTCATCCTGTCTCCATAGCAGAGCTGCTCCAGCACTCTGGTCCTCGTTGTGATCCTCCTTTGAACTCTCCAGGGGCTCCATGCCCTGCTTATGTTGGGGGCTCCAGTATTGGACACAGTAATCCAGGTGTCCAATCCGAGTATAGGATGAGGGAATCCTGGGTCCTGGGAATCCTGGAAGTCATCCATCTGCCTTCATACCTCCTCTACTGCCCTGCCAGATGGTGCTTCTCAAAGGGCAAGAGCTAACTGGAGGGTTCCCCTGCCAGCCACATCCAAAGGCCTTCACATTGGGTTCCTCTTCCAGTTGTTCCTTTCCCTGGGTTATAAGGCTGTCACAACTCCTGCTTCATGTTCATGAGTCTCTCCTGTTCAGAAGGAAGCAGAAGAGCTGTGCTTCTCAGTGAAAGGAAGAAAGGGGGTTTCATGGGGTTCAGGCCAACCCTGGGGGGAAATCCTGGAGGTAATTTTAGTTCTCAGCACAAAACAGACATGGAGCTGTTGGGGCACATCCAGAGGAGGGTCACAAAAGTGGTCAGAGCTGAGCAGCTCTGCTCTGGAGCCAGGCTGGGAGAGTTGGGGTGTTCAGCCTGGAGAAGAGAAGGGTCCAGGGAGACCTTAGAGCCCCTGCCAGTGCCTGAAGGGGCTCCAGGAAAGCTGGGGAGGGACTTGGGACAAGGGCAGGGAGGGATGGGAGCAGGGAGAAGGGTTTCCAGCTGGCAGAGGGAGCTGGAGCTGAGATGGGAGGGAGAAATTCTGGTCTGTGAGGGTGGGGAGAGCCTGGCCCAGGTTGCCCAGGGAAGCTGTGGCTGCCCCATCCCTGGCAGTGTTGAAGGGCAGGTTGGATGGGGCTTGGAGCAGCCTGGGCTGGTGAGAGGTGTCCCTGACTATGACAGGGTTTTGGTAACTAGATGATATTTAAGGTCCCTTCCAACCCAAACCATTCCATGATTCTATGGTTTAAAAACACTGGAGAGATCAGCTGCAGCTCCTTGGTGTTTCTAGGACTGGCTTTGTCTGGGCGAGGAGTGTGATGCACCTGAGGGAGCAGCTGACTGAGAAGGGCCAGTGCTCCAGCTTCACCAATGCTGAGAAAGGTAACGTGCTCTCTGGAGCCTTCCCTGGGCTGCTTCACTCCCCTCTGCCTCATCCAGACTGACAACTTCACTGCAGGCTTCTCCCAGGCATCTGTGTTAATGTACCTGCTGTGCTGTTCTTCTGTGTAAAGGTGCACGTGTGAAACACTTTCAGCTTCTAAAACTCTACAGGTTTTTTAAATGAAATTTGTCCTGAAGTCTGGTGGGAATTGCTGGGTCTCCTCCCTGGTGGCAACTGTTGCCAGGAGAGGGGAGGAAGATTTATGTGAGCAGAATTTAAACCAGGGAAATTTTTCCTTTACCTTTCTACTTTGATTTATTTCCTGACAAATCAGGGGTGTCAGGAGGATGAGGCCACACTCTTCTCAGTGGTGTCCAGTGACAGGACAAGGGGAAATGGTCAAAAAATGGTGCACAGGTTTCACCTAAATATAAGAAAACACTTTTTTTCACTCTGAGGTTAACAGAGCCCTGGGACAGGCTGCCCAAGGAGGTTGTGGAGTCTCCATCCCTGGAGACATTCAGAACCTGCCTGGACATGTTCCTGTGGGATCTGCTCTAGAGAATCCTGCTGTAGCAGGATTAGATGATCTCCAGAGGTCCCTTCCAGCCCCCACCATGCTATGAGTCCATGTGGTTCTGTGAAATCCATCCCTTGATTGATCATTTTGCCAAGATCAGCTTGTCCTTGAGGTCTGATAAGACCTTTACTGTGAGAGTAACAAGGCACTGAACAGGCTGCCCAGAAAGGTGGTGGAGTCCCCTTCTCTGGAGACATTCCAAACCCATCTGGACATGTTCCTGTGTGATCTACTGAAGGTGACCCTGCTCTAGCAGGGGGATTGGACTACATGATCTTTAGAGGCCCCTTCCAACCCTGATGATTCTATAAGTTGAGGTTCCTCATCCTTATTAATGTCTATCAATATCTGCAGGGTGGGTGTCAGGAATGGGCCAGTCTCTGTTCAGTGGTGCCTGTGGTAGGACAAGGGAACATGGCACCAAGTGACAACACAGGAAGTTCCACCTCAAGATGAGGAGAAACTTCTTTGCTGTGAGGGTGACAGAGCCCTGGGACAGGCTGCCCAGAGAGGCTGTGGAGTCTCCTTCTCTGGAGGTTCCTTGAAGGCTGTAGACTGGTTAAAATAAAGACAGAGAACACCTACAGCTGAAACCCACCAGTCCCTGGTTGCAATCACTACCTTCCCATCCCTGCCCAGCCAGACCCTGTGTAATTTATGAGAAGGAGATGGACTATCCCAGTGCCAGGCCTCACTGCAACCACCTGGATAGTGAACAAGGGGCATCAATTCTTCCAGAAGCAGCAGGTTTCTTGTCAGTGAAGGGCACTTGTGTTTTGTGCTGTTGTGTGTTTATTTTATCCAGGGATGGTTTTAACTGCTCAGTTTCCTGGATTTCCATAGATATCCCTGATTTAATTTTGGGTTGATACTTTTGGTGTTAGGAACAGTCCAGGAAGGACTCTGAGACAGTGTCACTGTGATGGCCCGGGCTGTAGGAGTGCAGTATCTGAGGGCTGCTTTGCTTTTTTCATTCTCACCCCAGGGTTTATGCTTTAACCAGGTGCTCTCAGTCTCTAGCCCACCCTTACCTGGAGTAAAAGAGGAGATTCCAGGTTCCCAACATGCTGACTCCTGGTTATCTGGCAGTCTTCTGCTTTCTGGATGCAGTGGGGCAAGGGCAGCGTTCCTGCTGTGGTGTCACCCATGCTTTTCTCTGACCTCGCAGATCCTGAGGAGTTCCTCAATCTCATCATGCACCAGATCCTGGGAATAGAGCCTCTCCTGAAGCTGCAGTAAGTTTCCATACCTGAGTGATGCAATTTATCCAGGCTCATTAATTATCCCTGTCCCGACCACCAGGTGTTCCTTGTGCCCTTTCACCCAGGCTTTGGAGGCACCGCTTAGCCAGCTGTGTGCAGCTCCCTGTGATTTTCCTTCTTGTCATCTCATCCCAAGTGACACCTCCAGGGAAAGACACTTTTTCAGCTCTCCTTGGAGGTGTCACCTCCAGAAAACCATGATGAAAACCTTGTCTCATCCTGAGGGAGAAGCCAGCAGTGGTTTGGGAAACGTAGCATCCAACTGGAGTGCAGAGTCTGACAGCTTTTGGATGCCTTTGGGATGTGTCCAGACTGGCTCAGGTCCTGCAACCCTCTCAACCAGGCCAGCCTTGGATGAAGTCCCAGTTGGACTCTACAAAGAGGATGAGAGGCTGAAGGAAGCCAAAAATAACCGTGTTGTTGGGGAGCACAGAAAGGGGATTGTTGGGTTTCTGGGTTCCTTTGTTGAGATGTCGGTCAAGCCGTAGATCATGGAGTAGTTGGAAAGGCAGAGCACAAAGAGGACTCTGTGCTGCTGCTCCCCTGCAGGGGGTCATCTGAAGGAAACTCTTTCTCCTGACTGGCTCAGGGACGTGTAGAAGTTGTGGGAGATCTTCTGTCCACAGCTCACAAGAGCTTTTGCTCGCTGGCTTTTTTATGTGCGGTTGCAAATAGATCTTTCATCTGAGAGGGAGTCTTGCTGATTGTGCCGTCGTGCAGTTGGTTTAATTGAGTCCAAAAAGCACTGAGGTGTCTCTTTTAATATTTACATTGATGAGGGGACATGGAGTTCTGCTCGTAGGAGCAGGATGGAGTGTTATGGAGGGATGATGAGGCTGAAGATGGTACTTGGTGGTACTTGAGTTGGTGGTTGGACTCAGTGATCTTTAAAGTCTTTTCCAACCAAGGTGATTCTGTGAATATATCCTCCTCTCATGACATATATTTAGTACTTCTGGGTGGAAAAAGTGCTTCATGTCAGTGTTGCACCAAGCAGCTATTAGTGTCATGGGCCAGAAGCTTTTGCAGGAGGCCATGGAGATGATGGAGATGCTGGGAAGGCTGGAGCAGCTCTGCTCTGGAGCCAGGCTGGGAGAGTTGGGGTGTTCAGCCTGGAGAAGAGAAGGCTCCAGGGAGACCTTAGAGCACCTTCCAGTGCCTGAAGGGGCTCCAGGAAAGCTGTGGAGGGGCTTGGGACAAGGGCAGGGAGGGATGGGAGCAGGGGGAAGGGTTTCCAGCTGGCAGAGGGAGCTGGAGTTGAGATGTGAGGGAGAAATTCTGGGCTGTGAGGGTG